TAATACCACTAACGACTTGGCCCGCAATGTAGATCGAACCAAAGGTCGTTCGTGTCTCTGATTCTATAATATGTGTATCATATATTATGATAAAATATAATAACACATACGACTAACTATAATAAAAGGATGTTATCTTGTTCTCATAAAATAAATACTTTGTTGTTTGAACCTCCTCATACATATACATATACATATACATATACATATACATATACATATACATATACATATACATATACATATACATATATTTGGGATCATGTGAGACCAAAAGTTTTTTGCAAGACCCATAAGACCAATTCTCAGTTTTTGGATTAGATCTACAATCTGAACATTCATAATCACAAAATTGCCACGAGACTTCTCAATAATCATAAAATTGTCACCGTACAACTTTAGATCATTAGATCATTAGCTTATAAAGTTGATTAATAGACATAAATTGGTCTCACGTGAACCCAATCCTACCTATATATATATAGATGAGCGATCAAATGAAAACCACTACAATTTGTAAAAACCGTAAAAACTACTCTCATCCGTCGATTTCATTGTTTAATCTTATGAAATTTTTTCATGAAATTGTTTAATCTTGTGAAATTGTTTCATATAATACTTTTTTTTGAAGAAGTTGTTTTATATATGGTTATAAAATTGTTTCATATACTACTTAATGAAATTTTAATGAAACTGTTTCATGTATTTCTCTAAAATTAAAATAATGAAGATGATAATATCCATTATTAACATCCTCCACAATAAAAATGATTAATCAACCTCTTATAATTACAAAAAAATGAACAAAATGAAAAATTATGATTGGTGGAATGAGGTTTTTACGGTTTTTACAAATTGAGTGGTTTTCATTTCATCGTTCCCCTATATATATATATATATATATATATATATATATATATATAGTTTGTTTCAAATACAATCTGTTGTATTTGTACAACCAATGCAACCCAATAAATTGAGATATTTATTAAAATGATGAGAGCTCATTTATTATGATTTGAATATTTATGGAAGATGAATATGGTTCATTAATTATGATCAATACTTTATATTATGAAACAATCAAAATTTCTATGAAATCACATATTAATCAAATAAAATGGACGGTTGAGATTGAGTTGTATTGGTTGCACAAATGTCAAGGGTTGTATAATAATGAAGATGATAATATCCATGATTAACACCCTCCATAATAAAAATGGTTAATCAACCTCTCATAATTACAAAAAAATGAACAAAATTAAAAATTATGATTGATTAAATGAGGTTTTCACAGTTTTTACAAATTGGGTGATTTTTATTTGAACGCCTCTCTCTCTCTCTCTATATATATATATATATGTATTATTTAATTAATACTGGTAATTTATGAGAAGTGTGTAAACGAACACAAGAAGCAGTTTCCGATGAAGTCGCATGCTCACCCATCTGCACATGACGACAAAACGAGTCTGGGATTTGGCCTCTCCTATAAACCCTCAGATTCCATGCATCATCTTTCTCCTTCACATCATCAATTAACCTCACTCCTTCAACAAATCAACTTTCCATCCAGATTCCCATTCATTTCTTGAATCCAGAATAATGGAACAAGTTTTTGATTCTGAAGAATCCACCAGTAGCGAATCTGGTTGGACCCTATACTTACAACACGATCACTCCAATATCCACCATGATCATTTCTCCTGGAACAAACTTAATTCTGTTGCAGATCACCAACAACAACAACAACAAGAAGATGATGATGAAGAAGATGATGATGATGCTGATGATGATGATATGTCCATGGTGTCAGATGCATCTTCAGGTCCACCACATTTTCAAGAACATCAAGAACAAGATGATCATGAATACAGCAATAATGATAATAATAATAACAGTAATGATGATGGTCATGTCTTCTGTCATCCTCCATTAAGGAAAAGACGAAAGATGCTTAATCAAACAAGCTTCCATAGCCATATACACCTTCAAGATCATCTGCCTGATCATGACACTGCTAGTTCTTCATTTTTCACCACTGTAAGCATCTCTTTCTTCTTCTTCTTCTTCTTCTTCTACATCTCCTTATGTAGCTATCATTTCTTTCGATCCCATTAATTCTTAAACACATTCATATCTTGGATTTGTTTCCAAGATCTTGATCATCACTGTTTTTCTCTTTGCAGAAAGATCTAAAAGTGTGCAATAAAGAAGATGATATCGGTTTTGATTATTCACAGGGCCATTCCACCACCTATTCTGAGGTAATTAATATTATTTGTGTTTTAAATTACATTTTTACCCTTTTAGTATTGTTTGTTTGGTTTGATGAAATGTTTTTTTTTGGAGGGATTTGGATTTAACGTAAGGATTTAGAGTCAGAATAATTTGAAAGTTTTAGTGTATTTGGTTTGCAGGATTTCAACGATTTTGAAGTTTCACTAGTTTTATTTGAGAAAATATTTAACTATGATATAAGTTACACTTGGTATTTACATATTTTGAATAAATAAGAGTTATGGTTCTAATTACAATCTATCGATGAAAAAAATTATACGACAGTTTAAAATCCAATATATTTAAAATCCAACATATTTAAACGACTTCACAAATATGTTTGATTTACACCAAGAGTAAAGAATCAAGAGATCGAGAACGAGACCTAGAATTCTAGAGCAATCGAATGAGAGATTAATGCAAGAACTTTTAATAACTCTTGATGAATATCAGTTTGAATCTCACATTGGAGGATGGAAAGAAGACATAGATGTATAAAAGGGTGAATACATGAGTGAAATGTGTCAAAAGTATTTTGGAAACATGAAAATAAAAGGTAATAATGTGCATTGGTAACTTGCACTAGATTTTAAGATTGAATGCAAATAGTAGTAGTTAATAATGTATTATGAGTTGTTTTTAAGACTTTTAAAACTTTGTGCATAAATGTATAGTATTTTGTATATTAAAAACTGTTTTTAAGATTTTTGGTAAATCTGATTTATAAGATAATATAGATTAGAAAACAAATATCATGTATTTTTGCTAACTATACGTGTACTTGACAATGGACAGATGGTTTGAAGTGAAGCGATGATGATGAGAGGCAAATTTTGGATTTTCCACGTGGAATTTAGAATTAAAATGAAAGTAGAGATATTTTACATTTTAAAATTACTTTTTTTTTTCTTAGTTATGATATGAGTAGTGGTTAGGATGGGGTGGGCAAGATCTTTGATATAAACCAGTTTTTGATGTTTGGTGATCTTTGATATAAACCAGTTTTTGATGTTTGGTTATAGAGATGTAAAGCCTCCTAATTTCATATTCAGATTCTTGTTCATAAACAAGTTTTAACTATCTCTCTCTTTTTCTAATCCAAGATTAACCGTAACTCATTTTACTGGATGAGTATGACAAGGATTAAAAATCTTATCTGGTAAGAAACATGATAGATACCGAGAATCTTTACCTGGTAAGTAAAGGAGAACAGTCTTACCACGTTAATGCTTACCAACAATCTATTTTGATGGTCGAGAATGGCAGCCCATAAGGTAAGTGAGAGTGATGTCTCTTAATGGTAAGCATTTGGTAAACTGCTTCTACAACTAACAAGTTCAACCGGTCCAAGACTTTTTTTTTTTTTTTGATTAACATAGATATCCAACCCGCTAGGCAAGCCGACTAATCCCAGGACGACCACCTGCTTTGCATATAGCCCGGAGCCACCGCATTTGAACCTCCGTGGCCACAAGGGGATTTTTATTTCTCATTGGATTTGAACTGACCTCATGGTACTTTTGACTTCTGGAGCCAAACTCATACCAATCAAGCACCACCTTTGTGGTTACCGGTCCAAGACTTTCTGTAACCATAACCGGGCACGGGCTTCGGGGCCAATTACCCTTCTCTACAAGTAAAGATGGCCAAACGGGCTCAACCCGATCCAGGATGGGTCGAAGATCATTTGAGACCGGATACATTTTTTGTCAAAAACAGAAATCCTGGCCAATACCCAACAGCCATACAACCATTTTTTTTCTCTCTCCATTTTGACTCTTTTGTCTCATTTACCTTTTATTGATTATATAAGTTATATAGTGTACGGGGAAATATACCAACCTACAATCATTCACAATTCTTGTTATAATTCGTGATTTCAACTTGTATTCTCACAAAAAACATATCTTTTAAGTGTATTTAGTTGACCCAATTACATATTTTTGAAGTGTATTGGAATACACTTTTGTATTTTTTTTAAAAACTTCAAAAAAATAAATTTATGTAAAAAATCGTTTAAAAAAATATACATAGGACCAATTCGGGGCCGGGACAGGGACCGGTCCTCATAACCGGTTACAAAGTACCTTAACCGGACCTTGGATTTTTGATCGGGGTCGGGACTAGTTTCGCTAGGACCATTTACGAGAATAGTGTTCAGAACCGGGACCGATTTGAGCCCGGCTCGAGACCCATTTTTAGCCATCAGAGACAACATTAGAAATGACGGGATAACTTTTTGTGTGCAATAAAACATGACAAAAATAACATTATGAAAATCAAATAGTTGGAAAATTGGTGCAAGATAGCATGGCTTATTAATCACAATAGCATATTTGCTTTAACATGAATGTATACAAGAGATAAAGGCCATAAGGGGTAGAAAACATATATCCGCTTATCATTCAAAATACATGTTTAAAACATTATTCACAAATTTTGTACGATTTATAACTATGATCGTGTAAATAATACATGTTTTACATTAGTGTATGTGTATGTGTGTGTGTGTGTGTATATATATATATATATATGTATGTATATGTACCTTTTGGCGTCATGGCGGGTGTAAATAATACATGTTTGCCATGGCTCTGCGAAATGGTCAGGTTAAGATGCACCAGATATGGTCATGTGGGGGATCAAGACTCAGGTGGAATCATACAACAATCAAAAAGTCAAAACTTTCAAGTAATTATGGGTTGAAGACCAACTTCTGATTACTCCAGAAGCCTTTGGTTCTTGCACCAGGCGATAGCGATAACATACAGGAAGATGCTACCAGTGGTACCTCCGCCAACAGTCCACAGAAATCTACGCATACCGATTTCCTTCTGAGCGGGAGTGTCACCATTGAAAAGTTCGATACTAATGTTCATTCCAAAGACTCCAGCCACAACCACGAATGCGCTCACTACTAGATTCGCGGTGGACAACATGACGCCCATTTGCAGAAGATGGTTCTGCTTGTCGTCCAGCATTATGTTGATGTAGTCTTCCGTGTCGTCCACGTACTCCCGCAGCTGGGAGATGTTAGGATCAATAATCATTGCAGGAAATAAACATCAAAGAAAATATCTATCCATGGTCATGGCTCGGATTTTTTGTAATAATTCTCATAAATTTTGAAGTTCATACTAAACATATCACACTCGAATAGACAGGTGAGTGGCATACCGTAGATAATTTATTCAGCGTACCATCGATTTGAACAAAGTAGGCCTCTAACAGCATTTCAAGTTCCTGAACATCAAGGCGTTTGTTGATACCACTTCGTGCCATGCTAGTTCGAGTCCCACGGCTGTCTTTTCCAAGTGCATTAGGTCCAAAAAAATGTTCCTGCTGGCTATTCATCCACTGAATATCACCTTCATGTATGTTTTCATTGCCTTCCATAGGACCATCCACAGGAACTCTAATATAATGCAGAAGCATAAAATGGTAATTCCCAGTTCAGAGTAGGAATTATGGCGTCACAAGCAAGGTGCACTATAACAAAATCGGCTTTAACCAAAGGGACTTTGGCCTAGCGGTATGTGAGTCCTTGGCCTCCTAGAAGGCAAGCGTTCAAACCTCACCAAAAGTGAGGAGGGTGTGTGAGTTTATTTGTTCTATTTACCGTATATAACTATTATATGCTTAAAAAAAAATCGGCTTTATAGGACGCCAAATATGTCTAAATGTTCTAGTACCTCATAGGATCAAACATTTGTAGGTCCTATGTAAAGGTGTTACAATAAGTTGATAATAATCTTTTGGGCGTCCTAACAAGTTTTTTAGGATACCTTGAGAAGTTTATACGACACTTGTTTTATAATGAACCTTCTCAAATAATGTCATACAAAAACACTAATACAACACTTTATTTTAGAAGTCTCCTAAAAATTAACTTGTTACGCCCAAAAGCACGCATCAACTTATTGTAACATTTTTATATAGGACAAACAATTGTTTGATCCTATAAACTTAAGGCCTATAATGCAGTATGTTAGGACTTTTAGACATATTTAGCGTCCTATAAAACCAATTTTGTTGTATTAGTTGGCAAAAAGGGTGTGAACCTGTAATCCGTTTCCGGCTGAAGAAGTTGTTCATCCATGGCATCTTGCTCATCAAAAGAAGGCATAGAAGCATTGTCGAGTCGTTGTTCCAGTTTATCAGTCAAATACATTTCAGCCATATCTCCATCATCATCAAGCAAGTGCTCTAATTCGTCCCTAACCTAAACCAATCTGAATCCATCATAAACAGTATGGGTTGATATATTATAAGATAAAAATCAAATTCAAAGCATTTATTTTGCAGAAAATTAACCCACAAACCTTTTGAACACGTCCTGAGATAGCAACCAACCTACTTTTGATTTGACGAACACGTTCCAAATTAAGAGTACTAATCTTTCTAGTCAACTTATCCAATGCCGGGTGCGCTTCTTTCTCTAATGTCCTTGCCTATGCAGGTTAAGATGAGAAGAAGGATGTTTATGAAAGTCGATCAACCAAACAAAACCAAACCCAATATATCCTAGTACTAGGTTAGGAGGTAGCGTCTGAGAGGGGTAGAATGTAGGCAGGCGTTACCTCTGTCTCAAGACGGAGTCAGAGCATATTAACCAAACCAACCCAATATATCCCACCAGGAGGTAGGGTCTGGGTGGGTAGGTTGTAGGTAGACCTTACCTCTATCTCACAAGACTGAGTGAGAGCTAATTTACTAACAATGCAAAATGATGTAATAAGGAAGTGGTGAAAATCCTTAAATACAAATTCAAAACTTGAATACCCATAAAACTTCTCACTTCTTTATCCAAGGAACTGCAAGCTGCCTCTAGGCAGGCTTCCAGTGCCACGAACTCAAATTCAAGAAGTTTCAGTCCGTCTCGGCTATCAAAATGTATTCCATCAGCTTTAACACCATCGCCTCTCTCTCGGATGGTTGTGGATACTATTGCAGGGCTAACTTCCTTCGACTGTGGTTCCAAATCATACAGATTTGCCCAGTCCGTATCATCAGAACGTGCCGTTCCTTCCTGTTACAGAAACATTCTAACATCAAATAATTGGGAAAGACCAAGTGCCGAATAGCTATTAGGATTGAAGATAATCATGATAGCCTGTTGAATACTGTGTATTTAGTTATGTCATATTATCATGGTAATCCCACACAACAATGCCAACTATCTTGAAAATTGAAGGAGTACAGCTCCTATGCTCCATTTAAAATGTTAAGGATGTTTATAGCCCAATGCCTGACTGCATGAATAGCTATGATTCTATAAATGTGTTCCATGACAAGTTTGCTGGTTTACTCTGGATCAAAATCAAACTCGTCTTAACCACAAGGTTGGTGCCTGATTGGTTTGAGCTTGGCTCCAATGGTCAAAAGTACCAGGAGGTCCCCGGTTCAAATCCAAGGAGGAATAAAAATCCCCTTGTGGCCACAAAGATTCAAATGCGATGACTCCGGCCTAACTGCAAAGCAGGTGGCATAACGGGTTGGATATCCATGTTAATAAAAAAAAAATTCAAACTCGTCTTTTGCACTTACATTTTCTATAGACTTCTGGTTATGTAGGAAAAATTGCAGTAACTTGCATTCAATAGTAGGGCATCATTCTGAATATAAGTCCTTCAACACTACATGCATCAAGCAATCAATTCAGGGTATTATCCCCAATTCAAACAAATCCTATTTAACCAACACCAATTATACACATCGAGAAACCTTGATATCATTTTGTTACAAACCACAACAGATGGAAAATTAAACGTTTGTGAATCTTCTCATTTACTGAATGCTAAAGATTAATATAGAAAATTTAGAGAAAAAACTGAAATAACCTGAGATGCATTGGCGTGATGTTGACGCAGGATACGGCGTTGGAGTTCTTCAACGAAGGGAGCAACGTTCGGGTCTTTCGAATTAAGCAAAAGCACCTCGTGAGCCGTAATTATGGCCTTAATGTGCTCCAAATTGATGACGATAGCCCGTTCTCGACCGAGTACGGTGGACGGATATGATAGAATAGGGTCGAGGATACGGAGATCACGCGCAGGTAATCCCGTCCGCCGCATGACGGTGTGCTTATCGACCTCAACCACTTGGGCCTGACCGGTGGAGTCTAGAAGGAGCCATTGCCTGACTCCGGCAGCCTTCTTTCTAAGTCCTCCTCCACCAAGGTTGACGTGTGCGGGGGCTGTTCGTGAGGGGTCGAAAGAATCTTCTTCCGGGATGGTAGCGACGGTGCTGGTTTTGGACAGCGGATGATGACGACGACGAACCCTCATTGTTGCCAACCTCCAAGTATATTTCATCCAATTCTTTGTTGTTTCCCGGTTTAAATTCTAGTCCTTCAGGAATTTTAACTCTTAGTCCTTTATTTTGTTTTATCTGTGATGGTCCTCCAACTATTGAGAAGTTGATGATTTCAGTCCCTGTTAATTACCTCTATATTGATGGTATTTTTTGACAAGGGTTTCGACAATTTTGTGACATTTACTCTAACCTCATTTACTATGTATATCATCTTACTTGACACGTGTCTTGAAACCTTCACACATACTTTTTTTTTTATTAATCTAGATATCAAATCCGTTATACGAACCGGTTAATCTCAGGGCAACCACTTGCTTTGCAAATAGTCTGGAGTTACCGCATTTAAACTTCCATGGTTATAAGAGGATTTTTATTCCTCATTGGATTTGAATCTGTGATCTCCAGGTACTTTTGACATTTGAAACCAAGCTCAAATCAATCAGGCACCACCCTTGTGGTTAGATACTTGTATTCATATCAATCGGTATCATGGGATTTACAATGTTAATCAAACATATAAGCGCTTTAATAACAAACACTAAAGAATCTGAATCATTTTAACGTCGTTGGTGATTACCGAAGGATCACCGAAAATTGAATATTATTTCTAATTTTCTTTTGTTTTTATTACTATTTTTTTAAAATAAATTAAAATTACTGATGGATCACCAGCGAAAAACCGTCCGTGGTTAATGGTATATACAACAATAATTTGCCGAGGATTCTCAATGGTTCACAACTTTGTCTGTGATTTGCCACTCGTTCGTAGGGATGGTGATTTGGCCCGACCCGGTGGGGAACCCGGTTCACCCGACCCGGACGGGGACGGGGATTCCCCGCTAAAACGGGTACCGGGGCCGGGGCCGGGGATGGGGATCCCCGGTAGAGGCAAACCGGGGCCGGGGCCGGGGCCGGGTATTGTATCCCCCGACCCGCCCCGCACCCGGTATATATATAAATATTAACATTTTGATTATTTGGGCTTATAATTGATATGTGCGGCCTGTTGGACTTATGGACTTGGGCTTTGTAATTGATATGTCCAAATTTCAATCCTCTTCTACTCTTCTTGACTAGATATGATGTAATTATATTAACACTTGTTTTAAATTTTACATTTCTTTGGATTATTGTTAATTTTACAATTTTATTATTTTTATTAGGCAAGACTAGATATGATGTAATTATGTTGTTATGTTGATCATGCTTAGAAAAAACTTATTAATTTTTATTTGACCGGGTGTTGACCGGGTATTGACCGGGGGTTGACCGGGGTTGACCGAAAGTTGACCGGGGCCGGGGCCGGGGCCGGGGACTGTGTGTATAAACCGGGACCGGGGCCGGGGATTGCAAACCCCGCCCCATCCCCGCCCCGTTGCCATCCCTACTCGTTCGCGCTAAACTTGATTTATTTCACATTTAAACAATTCCAGTCCTTGGGATGTTATTTTCCAAACTTGGCAACTTCGGCCCTCTATTATATATTACATAGTGTACAGAAAAGTCGAAATGTTACAAAAATAAGGATATGATCACAATCATAAGGTTTGAATAAGAATATGGTCATAGATATTCATAGGTATCCATAGAAATGTGTTCATAACCATAAGACGTTCAAGAAGATTGTTCGTAGTTGTTCATATGCCATGATCTTTTCCACAAATACTCACGTTCAAGAATGTTCACCGATGTTTATTTATATTCAATTTTTCATTCATTACAAATATGTTGTGATTAATTTAATCCATAGATTTCAAGGATTAAGGGCTAAGATTTGTTCACATGGTTAACATTAATTATTCGGTTCGGTTAACAGAAGAACCAATATATATATATATATATATATATATATATATATATATAGAGAGAGAGAGAGAGAGAGAGAGAGAGAGACTTGGGATCATGTGAGACCAAAGGTTTTTCGTGAGACCCGTAAAACCAATTCTCAACTCTTGGATTAAATCTATAATCTGAACATTCATAATGACAAAATTGCCACAAGACTTCTCAATAATCACAAAATTGTAACCGTGCAACTTTAGACCATTAGATCATTAGCTTATAAAATTGATCAATGAACATAAATTGGTCTTACGTGAACCCAATCCTATTGTGATAATCTATTTTTTACACATTGTAATGACCTTGTGAATACAACATGACACAACAACACCAAGAACATAAAACCAAAAAAACTAAAGATCCCTAAAAACATTGTGTAAAGATTTGAATACGCATTGTAAACAATTTGTTAATATTTTATTTGAATAATTATGGATTTTATTTATTTATTGAAGTTATAGATATTATATTTAGAGAAATTGACCAAAATAGTCAATCTTATCAACCAAATTCACTTTTTAAACACTTTTCAGGGATTCTTTCCAAAATAGTCAAAGTTTACACAGTAATTTGAATCCTTACACAGAAACATGATTTCTGGAGAAAAAAGATAGAAATTTGAATTCTTACAGAAAAATTTGAACCTTTATGCAGAAAATGGAAAATTTACGCAGAAACATACATAAGTTACAATTATCGATATTCAAGAAAACCCACTCAAACTGAACCGTTTTTAATGGTTTGATGGTCTGGTCCGATTTGAAAAATAGTCAAACCGCTTGGTCTAGTCTGCTCTACGGTTTGAATTTTTTTTTTGAGTCGTCTAGACCGAACCGACCATCAAAATACACATACATTAATTATATTTAGTTCTTATGTTGTAAGTTTAACATCCGTGAGCCAATAAAAAAAGTTCGTCCAATATATTATGTTTTTATTCTTCATTTCTCAATTGACTGATTGGCAAAAAATGAAATCTGACATTCCAAATCGTCAAACGACTTGCTCTACGTTTGTCCACAACTTCGACTATTGTTGGTGAACTTGTTTAAGTTTTTTCAATTTGATAAATGTTCTTTTTCTAATTTTAGAGAAAGACGTTTCTCTTATAATTTGGTATACTATTTTCTAATAATTTATATTGGTAGAGAAATCATTTTGGATATAGATGTTATGCTTTTTAAGTTTAAAGCCATAAAAAGCTCAAACTGCCTAAACCGGTCAGATCATACCGCCCTTTCGTGATCCGATTTGACTGATTTTATCACTTGAAACAGTTCAGTTTGGAGAATTTCTTAAACTGCCATTGCAGTTTGGTTTGTGGTGTGGGGGGTTAGCCGTCCAAACCGGACCGTTAACACCCCTAGTCACAATATATGGATTAAACATCTTTGAGAAACCATGATATCCAAATACTCAATGGCTCGATCCATTTTATTAGGACACTTAGACATTTTAGGCGTCCTTCAAAACCAATTTGGTTGAAGTGTTCGGTGATACACTATCTTTACCTGTTAGGGGCAGACCTAGATATGAGGTAGGGGTATACGTAGGAGTGGCAAAAAATGAACCAACCAGCTAACTCAACCCCAACCCAACCTAGAATTAGCAAGTTATATTGAGATTTTCAACTCATTTAAATAAATGGTCAACCCATTTAAATAAATGGTCAACCCATCCAACTCATTTAAATGGGTTGGGTTGGGTTGAATTTTTCGACATGTTTGCAACCTGTTTCTAACTCATTTAAAATATTATATTTATTTTATTTTATTTTACTCTTAATATTATATCTACTATTCTAATTTTTAATTTTCTTTTACTCTTAACTAAAAATCCTATCTTCATGAGATGAAAGTCCAAATTCCAATCGTCTCCATTACTCTTAATAATCATGAAACTCTAAGAAAACCCTTTAGTCCATTACTCCATTATCGCCTCCAAAGTCCAATCCAACTCTTTAAATCTGTTGTTCGCCTCTCGCCCTCTCACCCTCTCGATCTCAGCTCTCTCTCCATGCAACGTTTTTCTTCCTCTCGGCTTTCTCTCCATCCAGCATTTGTCTAATTGTCTCCCTCACGGTTTTCTCTCTGTCCAGACGTCCAATGTTAGTGACTCAACAGGCTCTCTGAGGCGCTATATGAAAGCAATCATGACAGAGAAGATAGATGATCAAGAGGAAGGTAATATCGAGAATGAACTTGGGGTTGGTGAAAGTGAAAGTCGAGTTACTTAAAATTTAAAAATTTTCAATTTATTCTGAACAATATATATTTGTTGTGGTTGTGTTTTATTTAAACTTTGACCAATTTGTTTGTATTTGTGGTTGTGTTGTGTTTTATTCAAAAAAAAAATAGTCTACTCCTTTTTTTATTTAAATTTTTTAAAAATTAAATGGGTCAATCCAGGTTTAACAGCTTGGGTTAAGAAAATCGTAAACATGTCAACCCATTATCAACCCATTTAGGTAACAGGTTGGGTTGGGTTGGGTTGCAAAATCTCGACCCATTTAATTAAATGGGAAAAAGTTCAACCCATTTAACTAAATGAGAAAAATCTCAACCCATTTAATTAAATGGGTTGAATTGGGTTGAAATTTTCAACCTGTTTAATAAAATAGGTTGAACCCGAACCCAACTCAACCTAACCCATTGTCTCCTCTAGATATATGTGTTATCACTCTATCGTCTTAACGCAATAGAAAAAAGAAAATTAAAGGTCTTAAAGATGCACACACTATTAAATGATGTATGTTCTCTTAAGTGATAATACATGTGGTATTATAAGTCACAAGTATAAATCCCTTTGTCTATCTTCTATTTTTTTTGTAACAACACCATAAAAGAAAAACGCTTGGATGTTGCAAAAAACCGCTTATCTGTCATTTCTAGCGACACGTAGTTTTTGAAATTAATATTTGTTTTCTTTTGCATAACATTAATTGTTATGTGTACCCGGTTGAAAACTTCTCTGGTTTCCTATGCTACTTGTCACTTGTCAGAGATGGGTCCATTAATATTAACGTATCAGCCCATGTTTATCCAATTTTCTTAAAAATGATTGTTCAACCCTGTTTTTCTAGCGGATCGTAATGAGCATTTATAGGACGATGACGGGGATGGGCATCGTA